CAAAGGTATGACTTTCAAAGACTGTTTCTCGTTCCTCATTTGCTATCGGATCCTTTGTAACCAACATGTACTTGGTTTTGTCTTCGTTGATGACTAGACCGACCTGTTTCGCCGCTGTTTCTAATTCTAGGAGATATTGCTCAACATCTCGCTTGCTACGCCCTACTATGTCAATGTCATCAGCATATGCTAAGACTTGTATCGATCTATTGTAAATAGTACCGCCATCGCTAATTCGTGTATCTCGGACTGCCTTTTCTAAGGCAATATTAAATAGGAGGCAAGCCAGAGCATCTCCTTGTCTGAGTCCATCCTTTATCTCAAAGGATCTAGAACTCTTTCCCTGTATTCTAACAGTGGCTTCTAAGTTAGACATTGTCATTCTCGTTAGTCAGATAAGTTTCTCTGGTATACCAAACTCATGCATTGATTGGTATAGCACTGTTCTCTTGACACTGTCGTATGCGGCCTTGAAGTCGACGAATAGGTGATGGGTTTCAATATTGAATTCTAATGTTTTCTCGAGAATCTGTCTTATTGAATGAATCTGGTCAATTGTTGATTTTTCTGGAGTGAATCCAACTTGATATTTACCAATTATGCCCACTGTGTAAACTTGCAACCTTTCGTAGAGAATAATTGCTAGTATTTTGTAAGCAGTTGTTAACAGGGTTATACCTCTATAGTTGTCACACTGGAGCTGGTCACCTTTTTTATGTAACGGGCATATCACGCCTTGAGCCCATTCACAAGGCATGGTCTCATTATGCCAAACAAGAAGTAAACGCTTATGCAGTGTCTGTAGTAGGGCATCGCCACCATTATTCACTGCAAATTTGATCAACTCCTGGCGATTTATTATTTTTAAGCTTTTTAATGGCTTGGGCAACGTTTTCGATGGTAGGTGGTCTTTCGTTCGGGTTGAAAGGATTCCAATTATTTCCATTTGCTAGGGTGTTATCTGCTTCTTCGATATGATGGCCATTAAATTTTGCATCGAAAAATTCAACCCATCTGTTTATGATTGAGGCTGTATCATTTAGGATGTTTAGTTCTACATCCGTACAGCTCCTTATTCTTGGCTTAAACTCTTTGCGCATTTTGTTTAGATTTCTATAGAACTTTCGTGTTTCATTTTTATTTCTTAGCCATTCTGTGCTTTCCAACTGCTTTTGCTCAAAATGTCTTTTTTTTTCTTCTATGTAATCGTTTTTCTTCTCTTCTTAGTGTCCGGTATTCTTCCTTTGCTCTTCTTGTGCATCCAGCTTGATTTGTCTTTAGGTTTGCTCTGTTTTTGAGATAATATTGCTTCTTTAAAAATGGCTTCACTGTATACAATAAATAATAATGGGGACATAATACAGCCCTGCCTAACTCCTCTCCTGATTTCAATTTCTGGATTAGGTTCGTTATCTATTACAATTTGTGTTCTTTGATTCCAGTAGAGGTTTGTCATTATTCATAAGTCCTTGTGGTCTACGTTTTTTGTCTTTGAAATTTGGACTAATTTTTTATGTCTTACTTTGTCAAATGCTTTTACAAAATCAACGTAAAAACATGCACATCAACACTTATATCCATGCATCTTTAAGCTAACGCTTTAAAGCAAAGAACGCTTCTCTGGTTCCTAGTCCGTTTCTGAACCCAAACTGACTATCACCTATTCTTTCTTCCAGTTTTTTATTTATACGACCATGTATTATTTTTAGAAATAATTTGAGAATGTGACTTATTGGTCATATTATTGTTCTGTATTCACTGCAATATTTAGCGTTTGTTAGGGTAAACTACAAACATATTATTAGTACTTATTAGCCACTTATCTTCATTATATGAAATTATAATCTTCTTTGTCAACCATTTTTCATCCACTCCTGAATGTAGGTCTCTCCCAACTGCTTCCATATTTCTCTATCTTGCACTAATCTAATCCACTGTTTGCCTGCCACTGCTCTTATGGCATCTACTCATCTTTTTTAAGGTATTCCCATGCTTCCTGTTGTTGTCTTTGGTCTCCATTTTAGAATTCTCCATGTCCACCCGTTGTCATTGTATCGGGCTTTGTGACCTGTCCAGCGCCATTTCGTTTTTATAATTTCTTTCACAGTATCCCTAATCTTCGTTCTACGTCTTATCTCGGTGATTTTAATTATGTTTCTGAGTGATATTCCAAGCATAATTCGTTCCATTGCTCTTTGCGTTATTTCTAATTTTTTAGCAGACTTTTTGGTAAGGGCTACTGTCTTCAAGCTGTAGGTACAAACTGATAGTATGCATTTGTTAGACACCGTTTTTTTAAGTTTACAGAAATGAAGGCATTTTTCAAGATATATGCTAGTTTGACGAAAGCGCCCTATGTCAGTCGTGTTCTTCTTTTAATTTAAGCATCTTTGGTTTTCCTAGTTTGATGACATGACCTAGATATACATAATGTTTAACATTTTCTACAATATGACGTTGTATTGTTATATATTTGTTTGGTCTCGGCTCAGTATATAATAGTAAAATGCAATAACTTTATGTCGGAAAAATTGAATTATTTATTTTTTCAGGATTTTCACTATCCTTAACACTATGCGATTATATCCCTACCATACATCCCTACCAAAAAATTTAATTATTTATTTTTCGGGATTTTCCGATAATCCAACCTAGCAATAATAATAGTAATGTCACTATACTTATCACTAAGCCACTACATCCCTACCATACATTAATGCATTCTCTGAACAAATCTTAAAAAATGTTGGCAAAATATAATATCAATGTTTGATATAAACCGTCAAAAACATCAGGAAAATATTTTTCAAAATATAAGCCCAATGTTAATAAATATTATCTACATAGAAGGGTTGTTGCACAAAAACATAGTGTAAAAACCACCAAATTAAACACTACAGCCTTAACCAAGTCTTTTCGAGAAAATAGTGATTCTTTTAATTTTGAAAATGTACACATTTTAGAAAAAGAATAAACCTACAACAAAACCGGCATGTTGGAGATAATTCATATAAAAAAAGATTAAAAGTGATTAAAACCTGTCAATAATATGGCTGATATCAAAGATGTTTTCAATATGTACCATAATTTAATAAATTGATTTGTCTTTTAAATGCACGATTGGCAGATACACAACGCAAAAGTCTAGGGATATTTTTATAAATAGACGTATTTTCTTTATCTGTAATAAACTTAAAAAAAGTAATACAAAATTTGTAGTTTAAATTGTTGTTTATTATGTCAAAAACCATAAATTGCAAAAAAAAACAGAAAATTGGAACAAAAAAAAAATTACTGCAAATCACGCATGTTTCACATACCACCATAAAATGTCAAAAATACGAAATATAAACTTAAAATAAAGTATGGCCACCACGTTGGTTTATCACAGCTCTACATCTACTGTTCATGCTCCGAATCACATTGTTAATGTCTGCTTGAGGTAGTTGGGCCCATTGTTCTCTCAGAAGCTCTTTTAATTGAAACTCATTGTAGATATTACCCATATGTGGAGTAACTCTTCGTTGGAGCATGTCCCATATATGCTCAATGGATTCAAGTCCGTGATTGTGCTGGCCACGGCAATACATCAATACCCTCGTAATCCAACCAGTTTGTTACAATATGCGCAACGTGTGGTCGAGCGTTATCATGCATAAAGTAAAAAATTTTCTCCAACAGCAGCAGCAAAGGGGCGCACGACAGGTTCAAGAACAGTGTCCAAATATTGCTGACTTGTGAGAAAGCCATGTGGGAAAATGAGGTCAGTTCTTCCGTTATTCATGATTCCACCCCATACCGTTAATGTACCACCTCTGTATGCATACACTTCTTGAAGATGTCGTAATCGTTCTCCATTTCCGGGTCGTCTCCAAACTCTTGTCCGACGACAATCTGGACGAAATTTATACCTAGACTCGTCACTAAACAAAACTGTGGCCCAGTCATGGTCAGTTCAATTCAGAAACTCTTGACACCAGGTTAATCTTGCAGCGCGATTGCCTCTAGATAGAGGTGGACATCTCAGTGGTCGCCGACTACGAAGATTGGCTTCATGGAGACGATTTCTCACAGTACTGCTGCTAATTGTTACATTATGTGCAAGTTGTAATTATATTATATTATATTATATTTATATAATATAAATATCGGTCTTGAGCGACGGTTGTAGAGCGACCACGTCCTGGATGTTGCTCGTCTGGACTCCCAGTGTCTTCAAACCGACGCCACAAACGACTTACGACGCTTTGCGAGACACCCAGCTGGTCAGCAACTTGATTTTGTCGCATACCAGCTTGAAGGAGGCCACGGCTCTATTCATCTCGTCCAACGTTAAATGTTGTCGTTGCATGGTAAAATACAATATCTTTAACTTACTTTTTAATCAAGAATGGTATAAAGTGACTAAAATTAAAAATAAACAAAACATAAAAATGTCGATTTTTTTGTCCCTTATAAAAAACATTCTAAAACACGTATTATGTGTACAGTTTTAAATTTTTTTTTTGATAAGAAGTGAGTGTTCTGTATCAACAATTATAGTACAAGCAAATTTATATGGTCATGAAATTTCTGTCATTGGTATTGTCAAATTATTAAAATATCCTTAGACTTTTTGCGTTTTGTGTTATTTAAGATACGTCCCGAACCACTCGTACTCTGAAGTACTTGCCATATGTATTTTAGAGTCAGATACAATTTTTACATTCCATGTCAAACCACTAAATAATGTAGACATAAAATATATGTTTAAGCAATAATTAGGTGTTTTATTTACAACAGACCGACAAACCCAGGAATTAAAACAACAGTTTTTTTTTTTCATATACAATTTATGTTTGAATATTGTTTTTTTTTGGTTGTTTTCTGCTAATTTTGAGGACATATTATTTAATTCTAAGGTGTTATAAAGTTAGGCCCGGGTAAGCCAAGTATATATATAATAAAAAAAACTCACTCACCTGTGTTTTGGACGTGGTGAATCTGTTTCTTCTGGAGACGAGCTTATATTTCTTTCAGCTCTTCTCTTCGGCGAACTTTTCTCAACTTTTTGCTTCTCGACGTCTAGTTTTTTCTTAAAACTTCTTCTATGTTCTTTTGGACTATTTTTGTTAAAACAAGAATCACTTAATATCTCGATCTCGTCAAGAGTTTGTGCTGCTTGTTTGTAGCTGTTTCTCCTTCTAGCATCTATTCGCAGTGCCTCTATTTGTTCCTGCATTAAGGAATCAACCGTTTTAAAACCAGATTTAACTTCAGTTTCTTTAAAATGATCATCGATAAATTTTGTTTCACTAACAGCTACTTTGGGTGTACTGTCTCCTACCGGTGTAGATGATCTGGGTTCATTGATCTCAAAAGTAAACATAGTTTGATTCTTAGCTGTAGGAGGTGTTTGTTGCTTTGCCGTAGCTGGCGTTTTTGGAGAGAGTGGGCAAGGTTGCAAAATTGGATTAGACATTTTGGAATCTAGAACGTTTTCTGAAGAAAATAAATCAATCGGTTCTGGATAATCTAAACTCTCATCAGTTCCATCTGTAGCCGTTACTGTGGTTACAATTGTATTTGAGCTTTCAGTACTTGTGTTTATGGTTGTTTCTGAAGCAGTACTGCTTCCCATTACAATAACTTTCGGGACAGGTTGGCCCTGAAAATATAATCAGATGTTATAAAATGATAAAAAAAATATTTAAATAAAGAAATGCGAACAATTTAATACATTCGATAAAATTAATATATGGTATAAATAAAAACAGCAAATAACGGAGGAGTTTAAGGGGGCATATGTCCTGCAGTGGACGTGATAATTCTGCTCACCAGTGTCGCAGACAAATATATAACGGATTATTGGTTAAAAACTAATTTCATCGTAATTGAAACCAAATAATACTAGTGATAACATTTTTTACTTTTAATTACAAGGAAATTAATACATTAAGCAGATTTCCTACAGTTCTTGTCATGTATGTGAAGTCATTTTTTTCGAAAGAAGAATCAAGCTAGAGATTAAAATATTAGATATGTATATATATATATATATATATATATATAATATATATATATATATATAAAAATATATATATAATATATATATATATATATATATATTATATATATAATATATATATATATATAATATATATATATATAAAAGAACTAGAAGTATTTGCTGACAACAAGGAAGTAATTTTCAATATTGGGTTTGCAGCAATAAAAATGAAACGTGTACTCTTTTAAATTTTTATTCCGAGCTTTCGGACATGGTTATGTCCTTCATCAGGGAGCTACAAATGTGATGAATAGTTTATTACAAGTTTGTATAATTAATTAAAAATTCGCTACTTACAAACTTAATGAGGTCGGATCATCAATGATTTTCTACAATGTCGATAAAACTTATCACAGTCTGTCATATTTTTACATAAAACTTATTCCTATATTTAAATTTTTTTAAAATTGCTTTACAATAACAAACACTTACTTATTATACACACATTTCTGACATTTTTATTCTTAATTTATTATATCGTCATTAGTTTTTTCTCAAGACAATTCAGTGGTTTTTATTATTAGATACTAGTAAAACAAATTATAGGCCTATCATTAGATGTATTGTGGCAATATAAATTATTTTATATTTATTAATATCAGAAAGAAGTGAAACTTTAACTTGTCAATGTTTCAACACAAAATTTATTAAATTACCCTAAAGCAATAAGGTCATAGTTCTAAAAATATTACAATTAAATATGATATTGTTTTGTATGACCCCAGTATCTGTGTGTATACAAAAAATTACTAAATTTAAAAACAATTTAAAAAAAGAAAACTTTTATTTAATTTATTAAAAGTCAATTGATAAATTACTGTTTGTGTTATTGTTGCATTTATCTAGTAGTAACAAATAGGAGAACAATTCATTTAGATGACCAATATCCGTTCTGTGATTCATTGCATTGTTATTTTGGCAAATGTAGCCATTTCAAGAAAAAGTCTTTTGGTGATGTTACTTTCCTGTTCTACTACTTTGATGTTATTGTAATCTATCCGATGCCCATTTTTAAATGCATGTTACCAATGCACTTCTTTCTGGATGTAATCTATTATCAGACTTGTGCGATGTAATGCGGTCTTTAAGGCATCTTGATGTTTGACCGTAGTATACTTATTCACATGATCCGCACGGTATACAATAAACAATATCCGTTAAAGACAAGAGTGAGGATTGGTCTTTAAGTTTAGAAAAAACTTTGTTAACTGTTAGTACCGTTTTTAAATGCAATTTTGATATTATTAAGTGATGAAAAAATTCTACTAAGTTTATGCCCAATGTCCTTAATGTATGGAAGGGATACATATTTTATTGTCGTTTGTTTTTGTAAAGGATCTACAGGTCCAATTCTATCTTGTGATAAAGACATATTTTCCTCGTTTCTTAAATGACTAGTTAAAGTTTGTGGAGTGTTAAACAAAATTTTCTTCAGTAGTATACTTGGGTATGAGTTTTCAATGAATAGGTTATAAAGGATTTTTAGATTTTTGGTATGGAAAGCGGTATCACTAATTTTTAAGGACACGATTTTTCATTTCTTTAAATAAATTAAGTTTCATTGAATATTTATGGTAATGACCAATAATTGAGATATCTTCCTGAACTGAGAGGTTTTCTATACCAATCAACCAGCAAATGGGTACCTTTTCGTATTAACTTGGTATCTAAAAAAGGTACTAAACCTGTAGCATCTTCACGTTCTAATGTGAATTGAATGTAGGGGTTGTAACTATTGAAATACCAAAGTATATCATTTATCCCCGTGCTTGGTAATGCTAATATTATATCATCCACATATTTTTTTATAAAATGGAATTTATAAGGTAGGACAAGGATGATGGTGACAATGGGACAAGACACTAAAACTATCCTTACAGCAAGATCAGTAAATATTTTAACGAATTCAGTTAACAATTCCAAACTTAATAATTCAATATTTAATCTTTTGTTAATAAAAACTAAAAAATTCTTAAAAGAAAATCCCAATTTGATAGTCACAAGATCAGACAAAGGTAACGTCACTGTTATTTTAGAAAAACAAAATATTTGGATCTTTCTGTGGCTATAATAGAAAATGATACATCATATACCACATTAAAGAATGATCCAACTTCATCTATTCAACAAAAATGCAATAAAGTAGTAAAATCGCGGTTTGACAAGCAAAAGATAGATGAAGCAACTAAAAAGAGATTATCTAACTATAAAGGTATATCTGGAAAGTTTTATTGTCTACCAAAGGTACACAAAACCCCATTATCTGTTAGACCAATTTTAGCCTCTATTGGCACACCTACAGAAAACATTGCTAACTACTTAACAGATATTAACAAATGCATACAATTGTGAGAATAAATACTATATTAAAGACTCATTTCAAGTTAATAAATTATTTAATAACACACAATTACCGGAAGGTTACGTTATTGCGAGCCTAGATGTAGTATCCTTATTTAGCAATGTTTATCTTGATATATGTATACTTGCCATTAGTAACAGATGGGAGATTATTGCTCAATATTGTAACATTGATAAAGAAACTTTTTTCAAAGTGTTAACCTTTCTGTTCGAAAATAATTATTTTTCATTTAACAAAAAAATTTACACACAAACTTTTAAAACACCTATGGGGAACCCTATATCACCAAATATTTCCTGTTATGTAATGGACCACATACTAGACACCATCATCCTTGTCCTACCTTATAAATTCCATTTTATAAAAAAATATGTGAATGATATAATATTAGCATTACCAATCACGGGGATAAATGATATACTTTGGTATTTCAATAGTTACAACCCCTACATTCAATTCACATTAGAACGTGAAGATGCTACAGGTTCAGTACCTTTTTTAGATACCAAGTTAATACGAAAAGTACCCATTTGCTGGTTGATTGGTATAGAAAAACCTCTCAGTTCAGGAAGATATCTCAATTATTGGTCATACCATAAATATTCAATGAAACTTAATTTAGTTAAAGAAATGAAAAATCGTGTCCTTAAAATCAGTGATACCGCTTTCCATACCAAAAATCTAAAAATCCTTTATAACCAATTCATTGAAAACTCATACCCAAGTATACTACTGAAAAAAATGTTGTTTAACACTCCACAAACTTTAACTAGTCATTTAAGAAACGAGGAAAATATGTCTTTATCACAAGATAGAATTAAACCTGTAGATCCCTTACAAAAACAAACGACAATAAAATATGTATCCCTTCCATACATTAAGGACATTGGGCATAAACTTAGTAGAATTTTTTCATCACTTAATAATATCAAAATTGCATATAAAACGGTACTAACAGTTAACAAAGTTTTTTCTAAACTTAAAGACCAATCCTCACTCTTGTCTTTATCGATGTTGTTTATTGTATACCGTGCGGATCAAGTTAAAGTTTAACTTCTTTATGATATTAATAAATATATAATAATTTATATTGCCACAATACATCTAATGATAGGCCTATAATTTGTTGTACTAGTATCTAATAATAAAAACCACTGAATTGTCTTGAGAAAAAACTAATGACGATATAATAAAATTAAGAATAAAAATGTCAAAAATGTGTGTATAATAAGTAAGTGTTTGTGATTGTAAAGCAATTTTTAAAAATTTTAAATATAGGAATAAGTTTTATGTAAAAATAATGACAGACTGTGATAAAATTTATCGACATTGTAGAAAATCATTGATGATCCAACCTCGTTAAGTTTGTAAGTAGCGAATTTTTAATTAATTATACAAACTTGTAAGAAACTATTCATCATATTTGTAGCTCCCTGATAAAGATAATCATGTCCGAAAGCTCGGAATAAAAATTTAAAAGAGTACACCTTTCATTTTTATTGCTGCAAACCCAATATTGAAAATTTACTTATATATATATATAAATATATATATATATATATATATATAATATATATATATATATATATTATATAATATATATATATTTAAATACTGATTAAATAAATTAAATACAGATTATTCAATAACTACAATAGTTTATATAGAGAATGTTGTTACAGACGGTCAACAAATAACTAACTTACTTACACAATATTACCATGACAAAACCCAACCGAATATTTCCATTCCATACCCAAACAATAACGCACCTCATTCTTTAGATTAGTCGAATCCAATCAATCTCCCTCTTGCCGAACCAGAATCAAATATCGCCATCTCTTCTACAAATATGTAATTCTTCCATATGTAATTCTTATGTAAATCCATAAGTAAATCTTCCATATGTAACTCTACTCTAAAAGAATTATCTCTTTCTAGAATGCAACTTGACAGAACAAATTGTTGCAAATGGATAAATGTCTGTATCACTCTCTTAAAAACGGCGTACTATAGGGCTGAATTCTAAGGACTACCTTGTTTCTTCTCAAGAGAAATGACCTGAGTTCCTTCATTTCTTCCCCAGTAAAAAATATCAATCGATTATTCTACCTATCTTTGTATGTAATTGGACTTATTGCTTATCCAACTTTTTCAAATATATTTTCCTTTACAATGGAAAATGGATTAAGTTATTTTAATCCATAAGATAAGCAAACCTTTAGAATCCGTAACTTTATACAGACCTATTAGTTTTTTTCTAATTCTTGCTAAAATTCTTGAGAAACCAATAATAAAGAAATTGAGTTTATTTCCTGCCTAGGGTTACATCCCTAAGGTCCTGAAATCCAATGGTCCCGAAAGCGGAAGAACCGAGTTAAGGAAAGACTAGTCTCTACTGTCCTGAAAGATAACTAGTCTAGAGGAAGAAAGCCTTGATTAAAAATTACCCGGTCCTCCTGGAGGGGGTTAAGTCATGGGTCCAGCACCTCCATACTAGTAGAAATCCTATAAATGCTAATAATCGTAGTACTATGTCTCGGAAAACGGACGGGCTCAAACGAAGACGAAACTCGCTACGGATAAGGAAAATGATCTGGGCAACATGGAACGTCCAAGGATTAAGAAACAAAACGGAAGATGTAATGAAAAACCTTAAAGAAATGAAGGTTGATGTAGCAGTGCTCATACAAACCAAAAAGAAAGGAAACGGGATTGATCAACAGTCAGACTATTTACATATACACAGTGAAGTTCCAAAAAATAACAGCGCTTCAAAAGGTGTATAAATATTAATACATACAAAATATCAGAAACGTCTTACTAGCTGGGAAACAATAAATGAGAGACTAGCCTCAGTAAATATTACGATAAAAGGACATAAATTAACAATTATAGGAATATATGGTGTAAACGATGACGCAAATCTAGCAGAAACAGATCAATTTTATGACCTACTAAACTTCTGGGGGAGAAATAATACTTCTGGAGGATTTTAACTCGAGAGTAGGAAAAAGGGAGAAATATCCTGTAATCAGAAGATATGGTGAACAGGCTGAAAATAATAATGGTAGACGACTAACTGAATGATGCCAACAACATCAGCTAAGAATATGGAACGGTTATTTCAAACATAGAGATATACATAAATACACTTGACACCAAGACACTAGAAACATAAAATCTATTATCGACTATGTCATTACAAAACAAAACGCTAAATTAAACATCCAGGACACTAGGGCTTACGTGGGTAAGGAATGTGGATCTGACCATTATTTGGTTGCGGCTAAGATTCTGATTCGATTTAACCGACACGTTAAAAGCATCAACACTCCAAAAGGAACTGATATATATCTGAAGAGATATAATGTCAGAAGCCTACAAGAATATAGCACTAAAATCTTATACCAAAATAGATTAAATGAAAAACTACTCAATTAATACCTAACTGCTAAAACCAACCAACTATACGAACATTAGCTGACTGTATTCACCACGCAGCCCAAGAAGCTCTAGGCCAAGAAACCAGAACAGTCCACAGATCAGCGGTGCAACAGAAGAGCAAAGAAATAAGAAACAGGAAGCGTACAAAATATGTCTGAACACTAAGAATCTTAAAGATAAAAAAATATACAAAGAACAGCAAAGAATTTTTAAAGATATGACAAGGAACAACAAAAATGAAACATGGGATGCAAAATGTAAAGAAGTTGACTATTACATCGGAGGAGCGCGATCATTAGCGGCATGGAAATTAATAAAAACGCTGAAAACCGACACATCAAATAAAAGTCGAATACAGCCCATCCAGATAGATACATGGAAAGATCATTACGTAATGGAACTAAATAAAGACAGAGATATTTATAATACTGACTCACCTCAACGAATACAAGTACAAGGTGAATATGTAAACGTGGAAGAAGAACAAATACAACAAGCGCTTAAATCGATGAAGAATACAAACCATCGGGCCGAAAACATACCAGCAGAACTTCTAAAAAACACCAAAACTAATAAGCTATCTTAAAGTGCTATTCACAAGATACTTAAATGGGAAGAAATCCCGAATGGTTGGAAAGAAGCATGGATTACTCCAATTTACAAAAAAGGTCCAAAAGATATTTGCGGAAACTACAGATATATCTGTCACCAGTACCTTTAGCAGACTGTTTGATAAAATCTTAAAAAACATAATTGAAAAAGAATACGAACCTTATGGAATTGAACAGCAAGCAGGATTTAGAGCTGAAAGATCTTGCGTAGACCACATATTTACTCTAACACAACTGAATAAAAAGAAAGTTGCAAGAAACCAGGAAATATATCTTTTATTTGTGGATCTCACAAAAGCATATGACCTGATTCCTGTGAGAAAGCTGTGGCAGTCTCTTGAACGATCTTCATTAAATAGCACGATAATCGCCGCAGTTAAACAATTATACAATAAAGCATCATCAAAAATCAAACTAAACAACACCTTATCAAAAGAATTTCTAGTGAAAAAAAGCTTACGACAAGGATGCTGCCTCTCTCCAATACTATTTAAGATCTATTTAAATGAAGCACTAAAACACTGGAGAAGATCCTGTTCAGGAATGGGGATCCAACTTGACGACGATACAGCATTATACACTCTACATTTTGCGGATGACCAAGTAGTAGTGGCAGCAGACAAGGAAGATTTAGAATTCATGACGAGACGGTTGTTTAAAACATATAAAGAATGGGGCCTCTCTGTAAATAGAAACAAAACGTAATACTTATGCATTGGGGATAAAGTAGAAGATCTAATGGTCAACGAACATGAAACAATCAAGAACTGTGAGGAATATATATATATATATATATATATATATATATATATATATATATATATATATATATATATATATATATATATATATATACATATATATATATATATTATATATATATATAATATATATATATATATATACAATAGGGAACAACAATCAACAAGAGTGGGCGCACCGAAAAAGAGATAGAGCAAAGAATCGTGAAAGGAAAAATGGTGATGGATGCCTAAACCCGATGCTGTGGTCAAAAAAACTATCAAATCAAAGAAAGCATCTCCTCTTTATCCCCATTTTTAAAATTATAATGCTCTATGGATGCAAAACATGGCAACTTACTAAATCCCTTGAGCGACGCCTACTTGCATTGGAAATGGACTTCTGGAGAAGATCAGCTAGAAAATCAAGGCTTGATAGAATACAAAATGACCATATCAGAAATATCATGGAGTCAAGTGAACCATCATTGACGAAATTCAAAGGCGACAACTGATCTGGTATTGTCATGTGAAAAGAATGGACGATGACAGGCTGCCAAACCAAATTTTAAAATGAACGCCAAGGGAAAGAAGGAAGAAAGGAAGGCCAAAACAATCCTGGCTGGGCGGCATTCACAAGGCAATGTCGGAAAGAAACCTTCATCCTGGCGAATGGAATGACTGACGTAACTGGAAATTGGGAACCGGAAGGCGGTGAACGCTATAATAAACCGGGATAATAAATAAGTTTATTTCCTAGAAGTAAATGGCTTAGTTCCTGATTACCAATTTCGTTTTCGACAAAAAAAAAACGATGCATTTAAACAAAATGCATAAAGTTGATAATATCACAAACAAGGATTTGGAGGAAATGCGCTATTGTTCTACAGTCTTTTTGGATATCACACAAGCTTTTAATAAAGCGTGGGATACAGGCTTGCTGTATAAAATTAAACGACAGCTGCCATCTGAATACTAGAGGACATTCAAATCCTATATATACATATATATATATATATATATATATATATATATATATATATATATATATATATATATATATATATATATATATCCGGTTTTTTTAGGCGTTACGCCCGTCCGGTAGGGATCTATGGAGGAGTATTACCGAGCCACAAGCCCTTATCTCTTGCCGTACTGCTCCACCATAGGCCGATCAGATCCCAGCATATTCTAGTCTAAGCCGCAGATTCATCTAGAATTTTAAACTGCTGCGTTAGACTTTTTGTTTTCTGTACACCAAGCTAAGGCTCGATCCTACATCCACTGAACCATTCGACGGTGAAGCGAATGAGAGGCAGCCGCACAGCCAGCTGAGCTATCTGACCGTCCTCAAATCCTATATAACAGACAGATATTTCCAGATAAAATACGGCACAATAGTAACAGCATTGAGACCTATAAACTCTGGCGTAACTTAAGGTAGTCTGCTTGGTAAATCTTTATATCTATTATAGGGGAGACCGGGGAGAGTTCGGACACAGGGAGACATCGGACACATTTGAATTTCGCACATTTTTGAAGATGCACTGTTGTCATTTGGTAAACACAACCTTATTTGTACATAATTATAGGTTATGTATTGACAGCTGTGATTTCGGTCGTAGTCACAGAGTTATCTATTGTGAAGTGTTTTGTCGAGTTTTGTTCTAAAAATATCGGTGCAATCCAGAAGATATATTTTAAAATACATAGACTTACCACGTATAAAACTTTGGTGCTGTAATCTACTATACTTATTTCATTAATTTGCGTTTATGTTGTTGCAATATTTAGGTAAGTTTTTTTATAAACCCATTGTATTACCAATGTTTGCATTAGGGGAGAGTTCGGACACAGTGTCCGAACTCTCCCCTGTGTGTCCGAAGTCTCCCCTGATCTGTAGTTATTCTATTTTTCTCTTACAGCTCATAATGCCCCGTACATATACAAGGGTAACAGAACGACAATTTTCTGCA